AAAAGACTGGTTTAAACATACAAAGAAGGGATAAATTTGAAGGCAACCACAAAGAAAGTTAACAAACCTACTCATCAAAATAAAGAAGAAAAACAGTTTCAGTAAACACAAAAACTGAAAAAATGAAAGAAACAAAAAAAGTACACAAACATAAGGAATTCAGCACAAAAGGGTAAGAGGAAAAAAGAAAACATCAGCAACACAAAAAGGGACTACAAAATGACAGCAATAAACTCACATCTATCAATAATCACACAGAATGTAAATGGCTTAAATGCACCTGTAAAGAGAGAGAGTGACAGAATGGATAAAAAAACAGAACCCATCAATAGGTTATCTACAAGAGACTCACCTTCGAAACAAAGGCATTAATTTCTTAAAAATCAAAGGATGGAAAAAATATATCAAGCAAAATGCTACCAAAAAAGAGCAGAAGTGGTAACACTAACCTCAGATAAAGTAGACTTTAGAACAAAATCTACCATAAATGAAAAAGAAGAGCATTATACAATAATTACAGGGACAATTCACCATGAAGACATAGCCATAATAAACATCTATGCACCCAATGACAGGGCTCCAAAATACATAAAACAAATTGTAACATCACTGAAAAGCAAAATTGATAGTTCCACAGTAATAGTAGGAGACTTCAACACATCACTTTTGGTAAAGGACAGAACATCTACAAAGAAACTCAACAAAGATACAGAAGATCTAAAGGCCAGACAACCAACTTGACCTCATAGGCATATGTAGAACACTTTACCCAACAGCAACAAAGTACACGTTCTTTTCTAACACACATGGAACATTATTCAGAATGGACCACATCTTAGGCCACAAAACAATCCTCAACAAAATCCAAAACATTGAGCTAATGTAAAGTATCTTCTCTGATCACACATCTTCAAAAGAAAAAAAATGTATGGAAACTGATTAACATTTTGCTTAAAAACCACTGGGTGATAGAAGAAATCAAAGAAGCAATCAAAAAACTTCTATAATCAAATGAGAATGAAAATACATCATACAAAAACTTTTGGGCAC